CCCCAAAACCCCAAAACCCCAAAACCCCATTTACCAATTTCACTTCGATTTTAACAAATAAATTTGATTTCATTCATTTAATGTTAGTCCTATTTATAATCTCCTCTATTTGCAACTATTATTAGCATATTCTTTTGTATTTCAACTCAAGATATTTAATGAATTTTTCAGCTACAAAAGCAGAATTATCATCGGCTTTTTCAATCTACTTTGCCTATCTTGATTTTAAGAAATTGTCCTAAAGAAATCTCATAGTCTTGCTTATCAGCTTCTTGTATTTATTCCTAATAGATTTTATTTCCTCAATTGTAATGCCAATTTTAGTCGCTTATTCAATGATAATTTCATTCCCTTATTTGCTTAGAATATTTTCAAGTAGTTAGGAAAAGTAAGAATATTACTATGACTGCTAGATATTGCTTTAATTATTAGCCTAGTATTTGAAAAAATTCAAAAGATTGCTAATAATCAATCCAATCTTAGTTTAGCTATCATCTGAAGAATTAAGCAAATTTAACTCTTTCTCTTGTAGTTTATTGTCCAGTTTTACTTATAGAAGTTTCTATTTGTATTTGAATATCAAGTTATCCTTGCTTTATAATTACTTTTCAGTATCTCCTAGTGCTTTATCTTTTTAAAGTAGATGTGATTTCTATTGCACAATTTAATCTTCTAATTCTTTTAGTTTTTCTCTTTGATTTATTATGATAGAAAACTGATTTTTCTGTATATCAAGATCATTTGAGTGATCCTCTTTCTATTGAGTCAATTAATCGTTAAGGTTTTAAATCTATAACTTCTGTTTGTTAATAATATCCTTCAAGGTAATAATTGAAAGTTCCTGATCTTGCTTAATTCTCTATAATCTGGTCAGCTGCTCTATAAATTCCTCATCAAAATTTTTGTTTAATGTTCCTGATTGATTAAGCTTTTACTGATTGATAGCAATTTTGTTATATTCTTATCTCGTTGAAGTTAATTTCTAGTTTAAATCCTAAACCTCCTAATAATATTTTGATTCCTGTTGCTACATCTGCTTCACTTTGGCCAGCAATTAAGCTTTTTTCAACTTCTGATTAGTTGCTTTTGTTTTCTGATAATCTAATTCATCAAGCAAGTCACTATTCTTCTTCTCAATTTAAGCCAGATAATCTTAAAGTACCTTAATGTTTGTGTTAAGTTAGACCATCTCAGCTTACTTGAGCAATAAAACTTAATTTTGGTCTACAAATCTTGCTTAGCACATGCTTAGGTCCTCATTCAACTAATATCTCTAAAGTTCAATCTAGTTCAATAGATAGTCCAAGATTTTATTTAGTCTGTTCTAGGATATTTCACTTTAGCCATTAGATTATCTATACAGCCTCTCTGTACCCTCATTATTTTTATCTTCTTGATTAAAAGTCATGTAATCAAGAGCATCTTAGGATGGATTTTAAACACTGATAATTCGATGAGCTCTCATCTACTTTTTGTAGGAATCCTTAAGTGATCTGTGATCTATTACTTAAAGAGGTTACTGTAAAGTATTTAATGCTGAACTATTGTTTATTATGGCTTAGTAGCTTACTTCCTTTTCTTCCTCAGAGTCATTGACATCACAACTAATACTATCATACTCTGAACTCTAATATTCAGGCTTCTAAAAACTAAAGCCATAGTTTTAATATGTCTGAACTGATGTCTTTGTCTTTTAGTGACTAATGAATTTCTTATGTTATTTCTGATTGGGCTTAAAATCAGGGGAAAGTTGCAATGAATGCATTGAATATCTTCCTTTGTCTTTACTAGCACTCATTGCTATTGATTTATTGATGGGTCTATGGCTTAAAGGAGCTTGAGGCTACATTAGTTGTTATTACAATTCTGACTAGTCGATTGGCCTCATTAGACTGTTCTTTACTGATCTCATTTACTAGCTTTGATTAACAATCTATGTCTCTTATTTAAGGAATTCTATAAGCATTTATTCAAATTTGGACCTCAACTAAGTATTTAGCTTTTCATTTTTCCTAGTAATATGACTAGGTGATTTTTCAAAATCTATGATCAAGTTCTTATCAATGCTTTGCAATAAAGCTTATTCTTCCTATTGTAAATTAACATTTCGAATATTGACTTTGGATTTCTCCAAAACATCTTAAGTCAAAATTTGAATTTCTTAAGTTATATCATAAAAAATCCCTTCATTTTTAGACTTGCATTATAATTTATAGACGCTTTATTAAACAAGAAGCATCTACTCATGAATAAAAAACAGCTAATTCTCAAGGTGTAAATTTTGAGATTTTAAGTCTTCTATCAGTTATATCATGTAAATTTTAATTTATATATTAATATATTTATTGGTAATTATATTCATTCAAATTCTAGAATACTTTTAAATTTAAAATGGAAGACGATGATTGCCCACCACCATTGGAGGATATGAGTGAACAACTTGTTATGCTTAAAACAATTAAAGAAAAACAAACTCCTTTCACTAGCCAAAACGATGAAGAAGAGGTTAGATTAGCGCCTAAAACAAAGACCTAGGAATAAAGTTAGCCGATGCCTAAATCTATACCTATGTCTGATGATTATGACAAAAAGCCAAGTACTTAAATCTAGTAATAGAATACATCTAACTCAACAGTTGCTGTTTAGTAGCAGAAGAAGCAGAGTGCTGGAGGTTTTGGAGGAATGAAAGGTGGATTTTTACTTGGTGGAAATAGCAAACCAACGTAATCCTAATAAAGGCCATAAGCATAAATATAAAAGCCTGCAGAAGATTTAACACACATAAAAGCAAAACCTAAGGATGATTAACTGAAGTTATAGGAAGTTCAAGAAGCAATGAGCAGTACTTTACTGAAGAAAAAAGATGAGTGGATGAATGCTGATTTCTTCTAGAAACTACAGCAAAACCCACTATTGCTCAAAGCTTTTACCAATCCGTAGTATATGGCAGCAATGAGTGAATTCGGCTAAAACCCAACTGAAGCAATGAAGAAATATGGTAACAATCCAGAGTTTAGGACTATTCTTGAGGAGTTCTCCAAAATGATGGGCACTCATTTTGAGTAGATAGGCGATTAGAAAGCTAAAGAAGAGGAGGAAAAGGTCAATAATGACCCAGTGATGCAAATTATTAATAATGATGAGCAAGTCAAAGCAGTTCTAAATGACCCTAAAGTCAAAAAGGTTTTAGATCATCTAAGATTTAACGGTGCTCTTGATTTGCATGAGGTTATGAGAAAAGACCCTGAATTAGGAATGAAGATGCAATTCTTGATATCGAAAGGAGTGTTAAATGCTAACTCTTAACCCTAATGAATAAATATTTTGATGAATTGCTGCTCAGTGGGTATTCAAATTATTGTAGTTAAATTTTATGCGTATTTAAATTTATTAAATCAAGCTGTCTTATCGATCTATAAATATTAATCCAACTTAAATAGGAATTTAAGCTTTTTAGTTCATTAGATGATAGCCAAAGGTAAATTCTTAGTCTATAAATCATCTGTTGATGACTTGGTTGATTGATAAGTTCCTGAGACTTTATAGGTGCAGGTGCTAGAGTCACATCCTGACATAGTTGCATCTCTCTTACAGGTCATTCCAGCAGTATTCTTAAATACTTCGTCAATATAGTTTAGATTGTACATCTATCCTGACATTTTATTCATAAATTCTACAACAATGCAGCCACGAAGGACTAGATCAAATGACCATACTGCGTTCTGGATCTCCTGATTTATTTTATAATCTACTGTTACTTATTGTTTGGCTGGAACCTTTATATCCCTATTTACTATGTATTTCTTTTGTACTTTGAAGTCTTGAGCCACATCACTGTCAAGTTTGATTCTTTCTTGATTCTTAGAAATCTCTGGGAAATCAGTCAGAGCATAATTTTGATTGGTATAGACATCAAAGCCTTAAATGCTCAATCCTGTATTTACCTTCCAAATAAAATCTAGAATCGCTTGATAGTTTTAAGAATAGGTAAAAGTTGTTTCAGATCCTCCACTGTTTTATTAAATAGTTTCATCAACTGATAAAGATTTTTATTTCAAATCTCCTAGTTCATAGTTGAAATTGCTAACTGTATCAAAGCTAATTCTCCTGTCGCTTTGGATATTGCCAGTGAGATCGATTGTCTTGAAGCATGGTTTTTGAAATCCAAATTAATCACAAACTCCATCAAAATACATCTTCGCTTCGTCATCTAAAGACAAAATACTCTTTGAGGTCTATTGAAGCATTTCGATACTAGTAGAATGATTAATAAGGATGAATCCTAAGGTGATCAGTTTAGATAAATTATAAACTCTCATTTTTTAACTTAAAAATTATTTTAATAATTGGGAAAAGAAGTATTACCAAAGTAATTGTTAGTAAATATAGATGAATTAAACCTTATACTTAAATTATAGTTTAGCTTAAAATCAGTAATTGTATTCGCTGTCAAGATTGTATCTTTCAGATCTTGTTGAAATTGTTGATCTATGGCTTCCCCACATTTGCTGCTACTCTAATATCTTTTCCAATCCTCAGGTTATCTTAGAACAATCCAAAGCAAACTTGTTCTCTTTATGCATATTAGACTCATCATAGGCTTTTATCTATTGATATCATTATTTGGAATTATGGCAAGACCTTACATATTTCCAACCTAGCTTAGATTAACAGTTGATACAGTATATGTCTTATATCTCATGATGGCCAGAGGTGAAGTCAGTCTTAAATATAGTCCCAAGAGTGATGTTCCGACTATAAAAATAAATAAAGATTAGGTTTAAACTCACACAAATCTTATGTAGTAAGCTTTACCATTGCTACAGCAATAGTTTTAGTCTAGCACTTAAGATTTGTAACTTAAAGGGTTCTTGCATTCTTTGCAACTTATCAATTCCTCATTTTGATCATTCAAAAGTTCAATGAAAAGTATTCCCATTTGACACTAATGAGTGCTAGATTTTTATTGGTATAATGTCAATCCGTAGTCGCTAAAACATTAATAGTAATTTAGACTAAAATTTTAATAGAATAGTCAAAAAAATTTAGAATCTATTAATTATTCACCTTGTCTTAATTAAATTTGCCATTCTAGACTAGAGGGGTTTTGGGGTTTTGGGGTTTTGGGG